TGCCTTTCAGTCAATACACTAGGGCCAGTGGAGTTGTTATCAGATCAATATTCTGACGGCACTTCCTTTCTTTTGTGGCGGCTGCTCTTTTATACGGTCGAAGGCCTTCCAACTCCTCTAGAGAATATCGATGGAGGAGGTACTTCTGATAGAGATGCGTGTGTACGAAGCGCTGACGGTACCGAGGCCATGCATATCGTTACAATGGCGTGTAGATTCTTGGTAAATCAATATTTTCCATTTTTCCCTTGCGAGGGGACGTTTTAGGGGAAACTGGGGGTAGGAGTCATAAACTTTCTTGAATATTTTTGAGATTTTAAAAATTCACATTCTCAGCAAAATTCAGCTTGTTTGTATGATTTTTAGAGGTCAAATCCTTTATGAATGGCCTCTAATCCGTTAAAAAAAGCGATCTTTTTTGCTAATAAATATTTTTTTCTACTCTCTTACTAGTAAATTGTATATTACCTACTATTTGCATGCTAAGTAAATGCATTATAACAGATACTGACACGTAATGACTAGCACGTAATAAAAAAAATTACGCTTCAGTTTTATAAAAATGTGTAATATCACACAAGCCTCGTAAGTCAGTTGATCGAATTACCATGGAAACGAATTAACAGACGTTATTTTGACAGATTAAAAATTATTAATCTGTCAGTGTAAATATAGTGGTCATTTAATTTTTATTTTTATAAACGAAAATAATCGTAGAAAAAGTATAGTACACAACTTGAGTTGTAAGCTTATTACATGCTTGTAAAATTACTGCGCTCGCCGCTACGCGGCTCGCGCGCAACTTTTTTGCTCGCATGTAATAAGCTTCTTACAACTCTCGTTATGTAATATACTAATAAAGAGAAATGAGGCATTGTGACAGAAATAAAAATTCTTAAAAGCAATGTTACGCTAATCAGACTTTAAAAAAGAAAAAATTGAGTGAAGACAGAAATAAATGAAAAAACGAGGAAGAGAAATGTACGGCAAAAACTTGTATTGCCAATTAAGTGATCACCACCAAGCCTAAGTTAATTCAAGTTCTCATATGAAAATGCATCACAATATACAACTAAAAGATAATGCAAAATATTGCGTATAGAACAAGCCTTGACATCTTGAAATTGTAATTAAAGCAAAAGGTGGCATCTCTGAATATTAAAATAATTTTTATAGAAATTTTTTAAAAAAGATAATAAATAGTCTCACCTACAAAATTCATTTTTATTATTTTAATAACATGCTTTTGCAGATAAAAAATAAATACAAGACTCAGACTGGCAAAAATTAGTTAAATTAAGAAAAACAGAATTTTGTGTACTATATAATAATAATTTCGTCACCCACTGTAATAACTTTGCCTATGTGCTAAAATTTATTTTATTAAGAACAAGTGTGAAAATTTCCAATTATACATCTACATATTTTATTACAATCAAAACAATTGCCAAAAAATAATTAAGTCTGAAACAATTTACAGCTTTCCAAATAATCAAATTGTTCTTAGAACTGTCGTTTGATCGAAAGTTATATTGGTCTTTTATAATGTGTCACAACACTCAAAATACTAAACACGCATTTCCAAAATAAATTTTCTAACTTTAAAAACCGGAAGTTTTTCGAATTCATGTGACCAACTCATTAATTTTAACATTGAAAACAGATTTTTCACACAAATTAAATACAATACAATGCTACAAGTTTTATAAAAATAAAACTCGAATACAATTGAATGGTATGCCAAAGCAGTTGATTTGAAACATTAGTAACGCCAGGATGGTGCCAATTTTTGTTTGTTTGTTAATCTAATACAAAAACAATTGTTCTAAACCGATGCAATAAAAATTAAATTTGAAAACACAACACTGAATATTATTATTAAATATTTTATAGAGTTTTAAATAATAACTGTATTGTTGATATAACGAAATATGCAACAGGCAACAGGAGAGAGAATGCCTGTGAATGCATTCTCTCTCCTGTAACCGACAAGAATGTAGCTTCGACTAATTTTAAATAATTTTAAACTGTTTGTCCTTGTTTAGTGTAGCGTCTGTACAATTTTATGTTTAATGTTATGTTTATTACATTCTGCGCTTGTTGGATAGCCCAAAATTGACGAAATGCCCCTGATAATGCTTTAGAAAGCGTAAGTACTTGGGCAAGATTTAATTAATCAAATTGTGCTCGATATCTGCCTTCAATTTTATCAAATTTGAAATTCACAGACGATATAGTTTTGTTTTCCGACAACCTCAAGGAGATATGTACAATGCTACATGAACTTCAGTTATTGTGTGCCAGTGTGGGTCTTAAAATAAACATCTCCAAAACAAAATTCATGACAAACCTATTACCTAGCGGAAATATCAATATTGAAGACAACGAAGTAGAACTTATGGAAAAATACATATATCTTGACCACGAAATAAAGATCACAAGAGACAACCAAACATGCGAACTACGAAAAAGAATAAACCTTGCATAGGCAGCCTATAAAAAACTTAAAGACATCTTTAAAAGCGATATACCAATTTCTTTAAAACGTAAAACATTTGATCAATATGTGTTGCCTGTGATGACCTATGGTGCCGAAACTTTGATATTGACAGCTACAATTTATAAAACGCTGCAGAGGAAAATGGAAAGGTCAATGCTGAGTATATCGCCTCGTGACCGAGTTAGAAATGAAGACTTAAGACGAAGAACAGGAGTTACCGATGTATTCCCGAATCACCACACAAAAATGAAACTGGGCCGGACAGATCGTCCGAATCAGTGATGAAAGTTGGACAAAGAGATTGTTTGAGTGGAGGCCGAGGTTGGAAAAAATAAGTAGAGGAAGATCCTCTACCCGTTGGACTGACAATCTCAAGAAAATGTCAATGAATTGGATGAAAAGTGCTCAAGAGCACAATGGATAAAAATGAGGGAGGCCTATGTCCAGCAGTTGAAGCAAAGGGCTGGATTATGATGATAAACTTTGCTATCAAAGATAAACTCACTCTACTTACTTCTAAAAAAGATATTTTACGCAGGTGAAAAGAATATTGTGGACGATTCATGATAGAGGAGAGCACAGACGCCTCATCACAAAAGAAAGATGTCAAGTTTGAGATGGAACCTGACCTACTCAAAAGTAAAGTTGAACCAGCAGTTATTATGCTGCTTTATGCCTTGTAAGAATATGCATTAAGAAAGATCTCAAGAATACTTTTTTTGCACCATATTGTAGTATGATAATTAATTTTAATACAGCTCATTCATTTAGGTTTATGTTTGTAATATTCATTAGAGACTGCCGTCAATGGTAGGTCTCTGATTTTGGTTAGTACTTTTAAAATAGAACTTATTAGTAAAATCTTCTTCTTCTTCTTCAAGTGCCCTGTCTGTTGCGAACGTTGGCTATTAACATGGCAATTTTGATCTTGTTTGCGGCGCTTCTGAATAGTTCGACCGATGTGAGCCCGAACCACTTCCGCAGATTTTGGAGCCACGAGTGTCTTCTCCTGCCTGGCCCTCGCTTACTGTCTATTTTTCCTGGACAATCAATTGTAGCAGACGGTACTTATCGTGTCTCAATATGTGGCCTAGATATTCAAGCTTTGTTTGTTTAATTGTATTCACGATTTCTTTCTCCTTTCCGATTCTTTGGAGTACCTCTATGTTGGTGACATGTTCGGTCCAGGATATACGAAGAATGCGTCGGTACACCCACATTTCGAATGCTTCTAGTTTTCTCGTTAGCGTCTCCGTCAGTGTCCAGGCCTCCACGCCATACAGCAAGATCGGAAAATGTAGCATTTAACTATACGTAGTTTTAGGGGAAGAGACAAATCCTTGCTTATGAGGAGCTTTTCCATATTGCTAAATGCTGCTCTAGCTTGTTCTATTCTCGCCTTAATTTCTATGGTCTGTTCCCATTTTGCATTTACGTTGGTGCCAAGGTACACATAAGATTCTACATGGTCAATTAATATGTTACTTATCCGTAATTGTCGAGCAGATTGTTGCTTTTTGCTTATCAGCATCCACTTTGTCTTCTTGAAGTTGAGGCTCAGGCCGTATTCCTCACTAACTGAATAAAGTCTTTCCATTACTTGTTGTAATTCGTCTATGGTACTGGCAAGGATCACCGTGTCGTCGGCGTATCTTATATTGTTCGTTAACTCGCCGTTTATTTTAATGCCCTCATTTGCATTTTCCATACATTTGTTAAATATTTCCTCGGAATACATATTGAATAGGAGTGGGGATAATATACACCCCTGACGGACACCTCTTTTGATCTGCACGCTTTCAGTGAGTTCGTTGCCAATTTTTGCTCTTGCTGTTTGACCCCAGTATAGGTTTGTCACAATTCGAATGTCCTTGTCGTCAATACCTGTATTTCGCAGAATACCTATCAATTGTTCATGATTGACATTGTCAAATGCTTTTCTAAAATCTACAAAGCACAGATACACGTCTTTATCAACGTCTCTACACCGTTGTATAAGCACCTGGAGAGCGAAAATTGCTTCTCTAGTTCCAAGTGCTTTCCGAAAACCAAACTGCGATCTATCAATATTTGACTCACATTTATCATATATTCTTCTGTGAATAATCTTAGTGAACGCTTTAGTGACATGATTGATCAAGCTTATAAGCCGGTAGTCATCACAAATCTGGGCATTTGGTTTCTTCGGGATTGTAATAAATGTTGACTGTAGCCAGTTCTCCGGGATTTTACCGCTATTATATATGTTGTTAAAAAGTACAACTAGATTATCAAGGAACTGTTTGTCTGATTTACATAGTAAAATCTTGATTGTGCGTAATGTTTTTTTATGATGGTTCTTACAGTTTCAAAATTACATATGTGTCAATCTTAGATTAATGAAACCTTTTCAATATTAGTAATTACCTTTTTGGATACAATGATTTATCATTCTTATGATCAATTATATTACAAATTTAAATCATCGCATATTTTATCAACTAATTTTTCTGTATTTCAGATTGAACAATATTTTCATTGGCACTCGTTGAAAATGCATGTCATGTCAAAATCAATGAAAATATTATCTGGACTAAAAGTTATTGATTCGCAGTTTCCCTTTGGTTTTCAAAGAATATATTTAGATCATAAAGAATGTTACATTTAAGATTTGAAGAAGGTGACGCGAAGTATTACGATTTGTAGGTAAGTCAAAAGTTTTTTAATATATTTTTCAAAATTTTTTATACTAGATTCAAATTTTCAAGTTTATATAACGTATAAAAACATCATGGTTCAACTGCGTTACAACTATTCGTAAGACTTGACTATAACATAATTTTTACTAATGTAAAAACAAGACCTGCCACTTTAATAGACAATTGTTTAGATATGTAGGTTTCGTAGACATACTCTCTTTTACACACATTGCTACTTCTTCTCGAATATAGTGTTTCCGACAAAAGAAGAATTTAAGATAAAAACCGCTAATTTATACTTCAACATTTTAGTGAATTGCATCCATACTCTAAAGAGGTTCTGAAACAGTTTTCTTGTGACATGTTCAAGTTAAATATTGTCTATTAACTATTACCTATATATCCGTAAATCGTTTTAAAAAAAATACCAGCTATTGGCTGGTAGAAATCAAGTTTTTTCTCAAGACGATTCGTTACTATTTTTGTAAAGAGTTTGTATAGGTGACTAGGAAGACTTATACGTCTGTAGTTTTCTAATTCATGGGGATCTCCTTTTTTGTACAATAGAATTGCCTCAACATTGTGCCATTTATCGGGTATATTACTGTCCAAAAGTCACATGTTAAAAAGGTTTTTTATTTTCTTAAGTAGGCAAATGCCTCCGATTTTGATTGCATCAGTAACTACACAATCTTTGCTTGGAGATTTGTTATTCTTAGCTTTTCTTAGGGCTAATTTTATTTCGTCCATTGTGATTCCCGGTAGTAGTAAAAAATCTACTAGAACGATGTCTTTAACGGTGTTTTTTTTGTCCGTGATAATTAGATCTATTTCGTTTTGAGTTTTTTCATTAGGACTTTGCCATGTCAATCTTCTCTGTGGTTTCTTTTTGAAAAAGCTGTTTATTTAGAATATTTCCTTAGTGATACTATACTTGTTTGGAGATGCTTGTGTATAATGAAGTCGGTTCCTTCCAAGGAATTATTGTCGTCACCCACGTGGTAAAAACTATGTCCTGATTTTAGCTTAATTAAGTTATTGTTACGTCTTCTGACTTCGCTGAGACCGACTATGTCCTACTTTATGCTTTTTAGTTCGCACTCAAGTTCAGTAAGTCTTTCATCAGATAGTAAGGAACGTGCATAATATGTTCTTATATAAAGTGTTGTCTTATTCGGGTAAATTTTTTCTGTCTTTGTCAATATCAGTGCAAGATTCTGGAAATAATTTCCTACTTGCCCGGGGTATTTGCGTGTTTTCAACTGACATTTTCGTAAGGTGTATTCAGCCTTTAAATACCACGCTGGCTAGATGTGTTGGTGGGTGTTTGTTTTAACCGCCCATTCTGGGTCCGAGCTGTTTGCGGCTGCCCACTCTGGATTAGACGCCGCCGTTTGTGATCTTATACTATCCCTAAAATCAAAGATTGTCAACTCCACCATCTTCGCTGTACCGAAGGTATTTCTTCGTCGCCTTAGATACCAGATGCCATCCGTGACTCTTAGCAGTTGCTAGCTTCCCGGGAAGAAGCTCGTGAAATCTGCGGAGGGCAGGGATTGATTTACTTTCCATAGTAGGACTATCCAATAGAATCCAAAGAACTTCAAAGGAGTTTCTACCCGCTATCCGTTTAGGTTCCTTCTTCTCCTTCCTCTTTCAGTACCCTGTACCCATTTCAGTACCCTATCCGATTATCGAACGTTAGCGATCATATTGGCAATAATAACTTTATTTATGGCGACTCTAAATAAATTAGCGCTGGTTTCTTAATACCATTCTCGGAGATTTCGGAGCCAGGATGTTCTTCGTCGGCCTGGGCCTCTCCTTCCGGCGATATTACCCTGTATTATAAGGTGTAGAAGGTTATACCTCTCTTAGGTTCCTTAGCGAATATTAAACGTGGATTATTGGCAAGATCAGTGGACCATGACTAGGTTTATTACAATTTACATACATTAATGAAAAAAAAATGAATTAAAAGAAAAATACTGCCTATTTTTTAATCACGTTAAAGCACACCTTGCTAATCTGGTAAAAATTTGAAATAAATTGTACCAAATATGGCAGATGACACTCTTTTAGACGATTACTTTTAATAAACATCGATAAGGTGAAACAAATAATATAACTACACAAATATAAAGTAATTCCATATCCAAAAATGGTTCTAAAAACACTTAATAGAGATACACCGAAGGATTATGTGGTTTTGATTTTGATTTTTTTATATGCCAACTCGGATTAGCGTTATCAAAAACAAAATAACATCAAAGCTATATAATTGCTTTTTTAATATACTCATCTTTATAAACTTATCTGGATCTAAATTACAAATCGATCATGCTATAAATTTTAGTTGTGGCATAAAGATTGAATTTTCGTTTAACATTTTTTGATAGTGAACTACGGTAATAACAAAATAATTATCAATACATGTCATAGATACAGTAATATCACAAATTACCAAAAGAGAAATAGTAATATACTATATTATAAATTATTATATAGTATAAATAGTAATAGTATATATTATATAAACCTATATATAAAGGAAATCACTAAGTTCTCGAGAAGACCCGCATTAAGACTTTAATGCTCGACGTTTCGGCACCCATTTTGGAGCCATTTTCAAGATGGATACGGTTCCGTTTGAGTTCGAGGTCTCAATCTGCCTACTCCCCTCCCTCGTGACGTATATTATACCAGTATCGTGTTTTGTATAAATACAAGAACCGTCAAACGACACTGAGGTCTCAATCTGCCTACTTGTCAGTGTCGAGTGACGACCGGTTTTATCCCGTGCGGCTGATTTTATACTATCACGTGGTCTGAGCTGACGCGATCTGAACTGACGTGACCTGAGCGGCGTGGGTTAGGATGGGGGGTCGCTGAAGTAGCGGTCGCCATACTGCCGGAAGTCGTTTAGCGTCATCGCGCGTATTTAAGTTTTTCAATTTCGATGGCTTTACGAATAATTCTGGATTAAAGAAGCGGATGGGAGCGATGGTTTTTGCTTTTTAGAAATCTATTTTGTGGCCTGTCTGAATATGATGTTGGGTTGGCTGAAGTAGTATCGGAGTATTTGACTGATAGAGAATGTTCGTAAATACGATTATTAATTCGTCGGTTTCTCTGTACCATATATGAACGTGGGCAACTGGAACAAGGTATTTCGTAGACACCATGGTCTTCACTGGGAATTTGGTATTTTACGGTTCTGACGAGATTGGACAACTTAGAGTAAGTAGTGAAGATGGTTTTGATGTTTAGAGGGGTAAGAGTTATACTGATCTTTTCAGTGATACCTTTAATGAAAGGTAGAAAGATTTTGGGTTGATCCAGCGGCAAGGTTTCTTTTTTGGATGGAATAGTTTTTAGATGTTTTTGAATACTTCTATTGGTTTGGGTTTTGTGGTAGCCGTTTTGTAAGAGTGTTTGTCTTATTGCCTATATTGCCTATAAATAAAGCAATATACTCCCTATTTCCTGAGCAGCAAATCACCTGAATGAGACACACTACCAGTAGAAATAAATTTGGCAGTCAGCAAGTATGACAAAGATTCACCCCTACATTTCTTCCTCTTCCTCCGACTTCTTTTGTTTTACTACGTTTTTTTTTTTCTCTTAGTCGATCGCTTTACGGATAACCGACTTACATGTTGTATCGAAAGCACTTTCTATATAAAAAATTACTGCGATTACGTCTTGCTTTGAGGGCATACTTACGAAACATAAGATACTTTTAAATTCGTCACAATAGTTCAATGAGCCAATAAATATCACTTTACTATTACTACTACCTAAAGCATCATTTCGAGCATGAAACCACATAAGAACTATGCGCTGGACATTTGCCGAGAAAACATAAACAAGTAATATTTTGCGACTGTGCGTGTCGAGATAAAGCATATCAAAAATTCATTCGTTTCTAACAGATAAATTTACTATAAAGTTTTAGTTGATGGAATATAAAATACTAAAATAACATCTTGGCAGGTATAAAAAAGTTACGATGAGGTAATAAAATCTAGAGACTATGTAGGTAAATTTGGATAGTGTGTTTTTAATATTAAATAAATAAACAGAATGGTTTAGCCACGTAATTAACTATTTAATTTGTTTGTGTATACACCTACGCCAAGTTGTATGATTAAAAATTCAAGATGAACAAATTTTCTCGCCTATTTTCGTCCTTTATCTTGGAACTTCAAGCTGAATGTATGAAATATTGAACACAACCAACGTCATATTTCAAAATTAATTAGATTTCATCAGCAGACAAGTCACATTACAGTTTATAATTCATTGGATTACACTATTAAAGACGTTCTGAAAATCCTGAAATATAGGTGTTACATATTTTTGCAGCTTCCTAAACCACTTTTGCCTTCTTTGAGTTTGTGCGTCCATTTTTATATGGCGGATTCAGGTTCCGTTAACAGTTATAAAGAGTGTTTTGAGTTAGAGAAGAAATTTATTTCCTCTATGAGTATCTTTTGCTTTGTTTTCAAATTAATCTAACATTGGCTCTAATTTTTTTTTAAATTAATGAGATTTTCATTACCTATTATTTAAACCTATTAAGAACAAGGAAAGATGTAATAAATAGATGAGTGGAATACTTTAACTAGGCACTTTTTTTAATTGCCTTATTGCCAGATTCCAGTAAGAGCCTTAGAAGGTATCCATTGAATTCTGACAGACAACGGTGGGTTCAACATGTTCATGATGCCGTATTAAAGGCATTCTTGACGTCAAGCAGGAGGAGAGCCTCCCATCTCTTTGTATCCTGCGTAACTAAAGAGGTTACTTCACAGCATCTATGGTGGACCTTTTGGCCCTAAAACCACATTGGCGGTCACTTAGCGCATGCTTTTCTTCTAGCTCTCGCTCAAGGCGGCTTTTTACAAGCTGTTCGTGTGAGGTAACATAGGTTATCGCTCTTTATCAATTATAACCTGTATGTGTTGCTGCTGCTGCTTTAATTTGTTCTTGTATTTGCATTAA